GATACTTACTTAATATTAAGTATATTAACGCTTTGCTCTTTAGTAATTCCTTCTGAATACTTCATTTGTTATATATGTATAGTAAATACAAAGTAGAGTAAAGATAAAAGATAAAAGTGGTCGAGTAAAAAAGTAAGACCATAAGGTGTATGACAAAGTTTCTGCTTTTCTTTGATATTATTTAATTTTTTAAATGCAAAGTGTTAATAATAGGTTCATCGATTAGATTAAATATCTGTTGAGGCATTCGAGTAGATATAACTGTACGATTTGTGGATTTCTTTAGACTGCGATTATTTACGAAATCGTATTGTAAAATGCGCTAAGAAAAAGCCTCACTGCAGAATTTAGGGCATGAAGAAAGAAGAGGCTTAATGCCGAAGAGGCTAACGCCGAAGAGGCCCCCACAAATTTGTGGTATCAAGTGGGCAACTACATAGACTATGGAGTTATTTTCAATGGTTCAACATCAAGTTCGAACTCTTCGAAAATAGCTCTCTAGTCATATATTATATTTTATTGTATTACTTTTTTGCTCGTCATTAATTTTTAGTTTTAATTGGAGATGATGGACCATTCCATCTCCTTGGGACACCAAATTCGTGTCTATGTCGTCCATAAGATGCATGTGTTTAGTTAGAGTCAGAAATATTTAAAAAAAATTTCCGTATTATTAAATTTTGAAGATTAATTAACGTTCGGTTAATATTAAAGCAATTTCTTTATTCTTGTTTCATCTTTAAAAGTTTTCATTGTGTTCGTATTTTATTAAATTTACAATTTTTTATTTCTATAAAATGCAGTTTAAAAGTATTTTACAATAATTAATAGATATTAATTTTTTTAGTAACTTAGTATTTTAACTTTTTCAATATTTCTTTATTATTACATTTCATAATTTAAAATCACGCGTTTTAATTTAATTTCATTGCAACGATTATTATAGAGATTTGATAAAAATATATAGAGAATTCAATTGAAAAGTGCATCTGCGAATGGGACGATTTATATGTCAGGCAATTATATCATTTTTGATTGTATCATTAATATATTTTTTCTTTTTGTTACAGGTGATCATCGTCGGATTTATCATCTAATCATTTTAATTTTCTTTTACTTGAGCTTTTATATAATGGCTATTTTTTAAAACGCATTTCTGAAGGCACACACGAATACTAAATATGACATATACATTGTTTTTAAAATTTCTCTTACAAATGTAGCTGTAAATATTTCGTAATATGCACTCTTTTTTTTAATATTTTTTTCTCTATTTATTTAGGATTTATTGATAATAAGTAATGGAATATGCATCACTTGTTATGCAAGTATAAAATAATTGTGATCAACAAGCTAGCTATGCTAAGAATGAAAAATGCTAAGAAGTATTACGATAATTTAAAAAATTGATAGTATTTCTTATCATAAGGCATTCTATACATACAACATAAGGTTCATTATATATTTTATCACACACTTTTTGATAAGTTTTTATAAGTATATTGCATAATTGATAGATAGGCTAGTATAGTCGTATATGATTGTAAATAACTAAACAGTTTGAGTTTTCATTTTACTTTGATATTTTAAGTAAGAATTATTAATGAGAAGTTTCATAGCAGGAATAGAAGAAACATTTGAAGAAAATGTAAACAACAATGAGAACGGTGGTGTAATGATTAGTAATTATCGATTTAATGAACATATTAATGAGTTGGTTGATTTGCGGAAAGTTATTAATGAAAAAATTCATAAGAAAGAAATATTCTATAGCTTTGAATTTTTTCCAATAAAAGAACCAAAAGATATTTTTGAAAGGTTAGTATAATAATAATAAAGAATATATATTTCACATATTCTCAACAAACATTTAAGAAAATAATGGTGGTTAGATTTTTCGCAGAGATGGACAAATATTCTCCTGTATTTTATGCTTTAACTTGGAATACTAGGAGTGTCACAAATTTTTATTTACCTTTGAATATTGTTAAACAGTTTCCTCCTAATACATTATTACATGTAGCAGCTAAAGGTTTAAAACGATGTAATGTAGAAGCAATATTAAAAAAAGCTTATAATCTTGGAATAAGAAATATTTTTGCTCTTTTAGGAGGTAAACAACATAAATATTCTTTATCGTTCTATTTATGTTGGTCATAACTTATATATTTTTAATGAATTAAGCGTAAATTTCAGATTCGATACTTGAAAAAGATGGTGATTTTCCACATGCCATTGATTTAGTTAAATTTATTAGATCACATTATGGTAAAGAATTTAGTATTTGTGTTGCGGGTTATCCTAATATGCATCCGTTATCACCAAGCAAAGATCTTGATCTCTTTTATTTAAAAGCAAAAGTATGAATTTATATCTAATTTATATTTTTTAAAGTTCAGATTAAAATAGAACAGAAAAAAATTAAATCTTATTAAAGCTATGTAAAGTTTATAAATGATAAATACATTGATATCATATAATAAATTGATATCAATTACTTTGCAGGTTGACGCAGGTGCAGATTTTATTATAACGCAAATATTTTTCGAATCCAATACTTTTATAAGCTTTGTCAATGACTGTAGAAATATTGGAATAACAGTTCCAATTATTCCTGGAATCTTTCCTATATTGGAGTACAAATCTTTAAAAAGAATGACTAATATCTGTCAATTAAATATACCAAATAATATATTAAATCATTTAGAAACAATAAAGGATAATGACGAAGAAGTTAAAGATTTTGGAATTGAATTAACAATCAATTTAATTAAGGATATCATTGAATGTCAAGCTTCTTATGGTTTTCATTTCTTTACATTAAATAAGTAATTAATAATGATTTTTTATAATTATTATAATTCTTTATTTTTCTTTTATAAT